AATAACAAGAACCTTATCCGGATCTCCTACGTAACGAATCAAATGTTGTTCCGAGATCTATTATCCAGTTAGGAGGTGAACGTACCACATCAAGGCAGAGATTAAATACTGATGGTATGACGATGATGATAGATTAAAGTCAGGGGCTGTCTGATAATGAATACCTGTTTCCAGACTCGAGTTGGCATATAGTTGGCAAATATCTCCATGATCTTGGCGCCAAAATGATGCCATGACCATCCAATTATCACAATTCTCAGTTGTCGCACTAAGAACTGTTACGACAATGTTCAAGCATTGGTCTGTTCTAACCTGGCTGGCGGTGCTGCAAGCTACCGGCTCACACTCAAAGAAAAACTGTCCAATCTACGGCCTTGGCTACCCGAAACCCGACAACCTATTCGGATATGATGGTATTCGCGGCGCCGCTAGTGCGCTAGACTCGGTGATCGGACAGTACATCGACAATGCCAACAACACAGGTTCTGACAAATTCTCATACTCCGTTGAAGTCTTCGCGGCGAGTGAGGAAAAGCCATTATGGTCGCACTACTGGACGGCGAAGAACCTAGCGACGATGAACACGACGGGGGTGAAGACGGTGGACGGCAACACCGTGTACCGCATAGGGAGCCTGACGAAAATATTCACGATGCTGACGTTCCTGGCCGAGGTGGGAGATTCCTCATGGAACGAGCCCATCGCGAAGTTCATCCCCGAGATCGCGGCCATGGTCGAGAACGGACCTGATACGTCGCACTCGCTCACGTCGCCGGATTGGGGCGCCATCACGATAGGGGCGTTGGCTAGTCAGATATCGGGCTTGATGAGAGACTGTGAGCGGATGTGCTTGCTCTTGCCTTCGGAGCGTCGCTAAGCGGATTGCTTGTTAGACTCGCTGATCGGGGAGCTCACGCAGAGCAGTAATATGACCCAGACCACGGCCATCGGTCTGCCGGTCCTGGCCGATGTTGACATCCCGCCTTGTGGAAGTGCTCCCGTGTGTAATAGAACCCGTGAGTGTCGCTACACTATACTATCTCATTTTGAATCGTACTCATCTAAAGTCATTTCGATCCTTTATCGCACATCGGACTAATCTCCAAATCTCAACTATAAGAGTTCTTCGAAGGACTGAAGAAGCTGCCTCCGTCCTTCTCGCCGTTCGTGACGCCTGCGTACTCAGACATCGGATACGTCCTCTTAGGCTACGCGCTAGAGAAGATGACAGGAAAGCCGTTCCAACGGTCTTTCGAAGACAAACTTGTGAAGCCTCTGAACCTAAGCCACACGTTCTACACCACGCCAAATGATTCCCTGGGTGTCATACCGGGAGGTAGATATGTGACGACCTGGGCATTTAACATGGGGAATGAATCGCCGTAAGCTTATTGTCAAGAATTGGGATGATTGTTTAGTTAAGGACTGATCGTAGGCCAGCACCGGAAACGTATATTCATCGGCCTCGGACTTAGCAGCAGTAGGGAGGGCCATTCTGAAGTCAACTTTACTTCCCTGGCCCGTAACACGGCGATGGCTTCGACCGGTGACATTTAGTTCCGACCCCGTATCATCGGTCGGGAGCCCCTGGGGTGTGCGGAGACTGCCACTAACATCTCAGAGTAAGCATCACACACAGTTCACAACTTAACTTAGTATCTCGTTCGTTCACCAGCTAACCTGCAAAGACTCAACCTACCAATTCGCAACGACATTCAACAAGCTCGGCAGCATAGGAAAATACAGCACCCTCCTCGCCGTGATCCCCGACTTCGACATCGGCTTCAGCATAGCCGCAGCGGGGGAACTCCCCGCATCTCTCGTTCTCGACATCGCCGACACGCTCTCGAACACATACCTACCGACTCTCCTCAGCATCGCGCGATCGCACGCCAACGCCACCTTCGCGGGGCAATACGTCTCAGAGGACCCCGCCCTCAACTCCTCGCTCGCCATAAGCGTCGACGCCGAGAAGCCCGGGCTGGGCGTGGGGCCGTGGATATCCAACGGGACGAACCTGATGGGTCTCGTGGTGGCGCTGGGCCAGAACATATCCAAGGACTACTGGGACAGGATCGACCCCAGCGTGCGGCTGTATCCCACGGGCCTGTGGGATGCGCTTCCCGACGGCGGGAGGAAGGTGGGGTTCAAGGCGACCTTCGAGGATCTTGCGGTCCCCGAGGTCGCGAAGCCGTTTACTACCGACTGCTCTACTTGGGTCAGTCTCTCGGCTGTCGTGTATGGATCGCAGCCGTTGGATACGTTTGTGTTTGAGATGGATAAGGATGGGAAGGTGGTTTCGGTGGAGAACTCGGCGCTGCGGAATCGTCTTCTCAAGGTTTCTTGAGGTTTGGTTGACTTAACTTTGTGAATATGGTATATATGATGGGATGCATTGTTAATTGTACGGTACGTGTCGTGGCTCTTTGAGCTTGTCTATTCCTTGTGAGGGCCATTCCAATCATGCGTTACGGACAGTAGGTTTCTCAATGAAATTCGGGATTCCTGCATCTCTTACTACCTAAATAGGTAGGTAGGTAGGTAGGTATAACACCTGTGTGCAGCTAACGACATACCTACCCTCGGAGTCTCCCTGGCAAGTACTTGCGCTACCTGATGGGGGTAGTTCTTACTGCATGGAGGCACTAATTGACCGCTGAAGAAACTGTTTAGCATGTAATCAGCCATCTCAAAATGACGGAGATGTGTGTTTGTGTGGCGAGAGAATCCGCGACAGCTTTAATGCTGCCGTTGAAGTTGTTTACTGTGTACCTTAAGTACCTAGTAATGCTGAAGTTTGCAGAGACGCAAGGGTCTTTGATGCGGCGGGGCGCTAGCGACTAGCCTACTACATGTATGCTAACTTATAGCAGTAACCAGTCCCAACGGTCGGATACAAACTTCTGATGGAATACTTGACTTAGGGTATTTTCAGAGCGCAGATGTCGCATTATTTTCTAAATTCACAGCTAGGAGATCAGGCCGCCACCTAACACGTAAAATGAGGATCTACTCTGTTCGGAAGGTTAGATCGGGAGGGACGTCCTAGCGTTGAAGCCCCGGTCTCCGTGTTTCCCGAAAGGCGAACGCGGACAGGCGCGGAGTATGGTCAAACCATAAACATGCCCACATGTCAAGATAACTCCAGGGGACGATATAGAGCCCTTGTCTAGCGATCAGACACGTGGTAACCTATTTATAAACCACATCTCTATCTATTGAATGAATTGGTGCCCCTTACTATAAACTGCCGCAGACACTTATGTGTATCATCTTTGATCTTCCGCACTTACAGAAGCTCTGACACTTTTACCTGTACAATTCAACACGATGACGGTATTTCTCATTACCGGGGCCACCGGTCTGATTGGTTTCCGTATACTGCTTGCTGCCTTAGAAGCCGGTTACACAGTACGGTATACTGCAAGATCTGAAGAGAAAGCCCTTGTTGTCACTTCAAACCCTGCAATCCAAAAATTGGCTCTTGGAAAAGACCGCCTTTCCTCAGCCATTATTCCGGACTTAACTGTCGACGGCGCCTTTGATGGTGCCTTGCAAGGCGTTACGCATGTCATTCATGCCGGCTCGCCCGTACCAAATCCGGCCTACGAACCAACTACCCAAGTGTTCGAGCCTACTATAAAGATCTCGTCGGGTCTATTGGCCTCTGCACTCAGAACACCCAGTGTTCAGCGCGTGATAATTACGTCGTCAATCGTGAGCAATTCGCCCCCTGGGCCGCCGTCGACAACACCTATCTCTGCGTCTGATCGTGTTCCTCTGCCGGATCAGGTCCCATCGACCTTCGACAATGTGTTCGAAGCGTACGTATTCGGGAAAATACTCGAGCTCCATAACACTGACGAGTTCGTCAAAACTCATAACCCTCGCTTCACTATTTCTCACGTGGTACCTGGGTACGTTTTCGGTCGGAACGAGCTTGCACTTGATGCCGCTATGATGCAAACACGAAATAGCTCTAATAACTTTCTTATGATGGGAATGATGGGTGGCGAGCCACCATTTCCCGTGCACGACAGCTTTGCTCATGTGGATGATGTGGCGGATGTCCATATGCGGGTAGCATTGTTGGATTCCCAGGCGGGGCGTAAAGACTTCGGTATTGCAACCAAGGTCGATTATAGTACAGTCTTTGGCCACGTCAAGAAAGCCTTCCCCGAGGCTGTTGCTTCGGGAGTGTTCAAGATGGGTAAAATCCCCCCGCTGCCTGTTAACTATGATTCGAGCGAGACCGAGGAGTTACTGGGCAGGAAGTTCAAAACCTTCGAAACTGCTGTAGTCGACGTTGCGGGCCAGTATCTCGAGAAGATCGGTAAAAATAAAGCATGAGTATGGTACAGAGTGAGATAGACGAAATGAGTGTCACGAAGCCCTACAACATAGCTCTCCGAGATTGGGGACATCTACATAGGAATCCCTTAGTTCTGTAGTATAGACATAGGCTTTCCCTTCACTCTCAACAATAATAGCCAACAATGGGGCCTTCGGCAGTCACAATTGCATCAGGAAATGACAGTTACTTATTCAGAACCACACTAGATCCATTGAACGGTTGGGCTATTTGAGAAGTGAAGGAGGCCGACAATGGAGGTGCTCAAAACGAAGTCTATGGAAAATTATTCTATCATGCCCGAGATCAGTTCCGGCTTTTCATAACCCACACGCAAAGGCCATCAACGAGACAGGGTGCGCCCACTTGGAGTGATTATGCAATCTCGATGTCAACCTCGATTTCAACTCCTCCCGAACGCTGGGTTGGCTGTAGAGTTATAAGTAAGGAATGACTAAACACAAATGCTTACTGAGTCGGGAGGAAATATCTTCACGGTATCATGTTGGGAAACAGAAAAGGTGTAGAAAAGTCGATAGTCAGTCTATGGCCTCGCTTTCTAGTCCTAGATTAAGATCGTGAAATGAAAGCCTAGCACAGTCATTGTAACATCCATTATTCTAGACCAGCCCAAAAAATTTCAAAAATTTGGACCGGTAGGGATTTGAACCCTAGGCCTCTCGCATTTTCGCGCCCTTCAAGGAAGTCTGTTGGGTGGATGCAAAGCGAGCGCTCTACCCCTGAGCTACAGGCCCACTCGATGTATTTAGTAGCAGGGATAGTTGTAATCCACACTCTTGTAGCTATTTGTTGTATGAGGCGTAGAAACTAAGCAGTTCTTATTATAAAGCAACAAACCTTTTAATCAAAGAATAGATCATTAAATGATTAACTCACGTTGAAGAATTGTTGTTTGCAATATTGCCATAAAGAAAAGAACATATAGGGTCAGCCTATAATAGTGTATCAAACCCCTTTACACAGTAACAGACGTCTTCATCAAATCGGAATGGTTCACTTGCGGATCGAATAAATCATTTAATTTCAATATTAGGATTGATTCTTATAGACCTAATACTCCCTTCCTTAAATTTATCAGCTAGATAGCGGATGACATGAGAGAATAAGTAAGTGGTTAGTAGTCGGCACTGCCCATGTGAAGTCTCAGTAGCCCAAAGTCCTGGTCGAGAGTGGGTTCTCTTTTGTTTCAATCATGTAGTTGCTCTTAATAAGATGAATAATGTATCGAGGCCACATCCTTGGTGCGCGAATGTCTTTGTAGTCTATATTTTTCAGTGACATGATTGTGATAATCATAAACAGGCAAACTGCAGGTAGATGATTACCTTGGGTTCAACTTGCAGATGTGTGATGCTCTAGGCTTACCGCGCACATCTGAAGTAAGTGAAAGAACTCAATCTAATCGTATCGACGTATCAATGCATTGCTTCCAGTGCCCAGCTTGGGTGCAGCTATGGGAATTTTCGGTATTCCCAGAAATAATGGCATATTTTTAAATAGACCGCTTGGTTGATATACCTATTGGGTTGGAGTCAACGAGCATTTGAGATGTGCGGCGGATTGGGCACTCGTGTAAACACATAATAATGGACTGGTGTGGTTGTCGTGAGTAGGTGGTCTTGTCTATTGCGCAATCGATGCTACTTCAGTAATTCGTTATCTCAAGATATATCTGGTAAGGCTAGACTATTCAGCTGATTATTAGCAAGGTATCCAAATAATGTGGTTTGCTTTAGAGGGCGTCATTATCATATACATTATAGGTAAGTAAGATTCCACATAAAGGCATCGTTTGACTCCGTGATCATCCGGGGATAGAGTCTCCTCCACTACCCCTGCTCATACTAAATCGCGGCAATTGAGCGTTAAACCACGAGCTAGGCATGCTTTTGGACTAACGCGACTCTAGTGTATAGGCTTAAACTGCTATTTTTGTTGCAAAGCCGTGATGGCTCGAAACCCTAGTATACCTTCAGGCTACAATGAAATCTATAAGACCAGATGCCACGGCATATGCAACTATTCACCAGTTTAGACCACCATCATAGTTTCTCTACATATCCTGTTCTCTACAATGGCCAAGTCAACCAATACCGTCAAGATCTCTGACGAAATTACCCTTTGTTACGAAACCATCGGGCAACCTTCGTCATCGCTCCCTTCCTTGGTGTTTCATCATTATTACGGTGGCTCACCCGCCACCTACAAACATATTGTATCGCATCCGAGCTTGCAATCTTTTCACAAGGTACTTTATCATGCTCGCGGATGGTCCCCAAGCACTGGGCCGTGCGACCCTAATGCTTACAGCATCACTGCACTGTCTTCTGATCTATCAACCATTATCTCTGAAACTGGTCTTGTGGATCAGAACGCTGGCTACATCCTCGTCGGACATTCAATGGGCGGCAAAGTAGTACAACATTACGCTGCGACGAACACGTCGCCGTCACTCAAGGGACTCGTGCTTGTGGCCCCAGCGCCTCTGGGAGGACTGGACTTCCCTCCAGAAGTCAAACTACAACAGCGGGCCGCCTATCAGAGCGCGGGTGGCGTGCGGTTCGCGCTAGAGAACGTGCTTACCGCCAGTCCAGGCACACTAGATGAAGAGGCGATGAGTCAGTGCATCCGAGACTCAATGCGTGGCAATGAAGCTGCCACGGCAGCATGGCCTGATTACGCATCTTCTGAGGACTATGGAGATCTAGAAAATAAAATCAAGGTTCCAGTGCTGGTTCTCAGAGGCGGTAAGGACTTTGAGCGCGACCTAGTCGGGCAGCTGGGTGCTGAGCTTGGTTGGATTAACAAGGCGATTGAAGATTGTGGGCACCTGATTCCCCTCGAGAGACCTGAATGGTTAGCAGAAGAAATCCTAAAGTTTGTAAAAATAGTATATTAATTTGATCCTCGGTGGTATGGTCAATTTCGCCGAAGATCACGTTCGGTTACGATGGGTTTTCACAATCCCTTGCTTTGACGCGCTTTCCCCAAACTTGTGAGACAGCTCATTCTACTCTGCTAAGCGCTCATACATCCACCACGTCCGTTATTACGGCCGGACAGATCAAGCTCGGCAAATATGCTAGCTAATTTTGTAGGCTTATAACATGGTGCATCGCTGAGTGATGTTTGTCTTTCTCAGTTCTCGGATCAGCATCGCACATCTACGCGAGAATACAAGGGAGTACCGAGGCCGGGTAGCTGATTTAAGTATGATTGGTTACTTTAGGCTAGATACCTTCAGGGATACAGGGGAACCAAAGTTTGTGTCGCACTTAAAACGTTGGTCATAAGGGAGCATTGCTGGGTAACGATTCGGAAACTGTTTTCTGATTTTTGGATAGTATGTATATCACAACCGGTCCGAGATCAGTCCTACCTCGCAAGTAATAAGATAGTTGAAATTATTGGACGTGGATCAAGCGAACTGGTCCATAGAAGATCAGTGAACAATCTCCAGCCAACTTATGAATACTGGTTAGGGCTTGTGATACTCTGGCCAGCTTGAAGGTATCCGAACTACTTGTATCGGCAGCCTCTCTAACTTGGCGAAGCTTAGAAAAACCAAATTCTTATGCGCTTCCCTGATGCTTAAAATGTTGTCTCGAAATCCAGTTTTTGTCGACTGTGGGTTAGTCTGTGGTTCGTCAGGCATCCGTAATTCCTTCCCAAATACTCTGGTCAAAGGTGCTTGCTGTGAAAACCAGCTCGCGGCCATCCATTCTCCGGTGCCCAGCATCCTAGGGACACAAATCGAAAGGTGTAATCTTCGTCAAAAGACATTTCATTGATGCAAGGGGGGCAAACAAGCATTCACGAAATCGGGTTGGCTGAATGTGGTGTCAAAAAGATTAAACTGGCTGCTTCATTGATGTTGTACAACCACGGCTGAAAATCGAGGTTAGCGTAGCGCATAGGACGCCAATCAAACACTACCCTATGGATTGTTTTCGTGACGCCTCGCAGTAGTTGGTGGGACGATCAGCTACCAGGGTTTATCGAGTCAAACACTTGTATTGGTTATACGTGTGAATGGTACACGAGAGTTTCCTAGTATCTATTCACTTGTCTACACATCTCGCGTGTTTGCCCCTCCCCAATGTGTCAGTCTGGAACTAACTCGTAACGCCTTGCATTTCATACAAGAGGTAGCCATTCCTACTCCTGAAACTGAACCAATCTATCCAACCTGTTCATCTGTTCATGTTGAGTTTATCACCTCTCCTACATATTACTCTAGATCGTTAGCATATACCGCCATATCGAGATGTCTCACCCCCTCGCTTTGTTTTCCCTCGTGCCAATGAACGATCGGGCCTTTGAGGTTTTGGATTCTCCTCACAACAAGAGATTCGTGCGAGAAGTTAACGGCAAACGAGTTTTGGAGATTGGCCATATCCGCTCGATTTCGGAAAATGCTAGTACTCTTGCTATAATGGGCCGTGATGGCGACATCATCCTCGCAGGTAAAAACATTTCGAAAAAGCAGTGTTCCTTTGAGATTAACCAAGATACCAACGTCGTCATGTTTTATGACCGATCTTTTAGAAATACGTGCCAAGTTTACGAATTTCCCGGTTCGGAAACAAAGAAGTTCGAGCTCCGGCGGCATCGTAAAGTCGCCGTAGGTGCTAAATTGAACCGCGTCATAGGGCTGGGCGGTCCTGATTGCAACATCTATCAATTTCGGCTGGATTGGAAAGAGAATCTCCACTTAACGTTGAATAAAGTCAAGAAGCGGGAATGCCTTGACTTGGAAGAGAACACCCGCCTTGCTGAAACCATCGACGATTCCGACACTGTCTTGCCATCTCAGATGGAGACCCGGGTCCACAACACGGTGCCTCGTGACTTACCGTTAAGATGGGCAAGGGTAAATACCCTGGGGTCTGGTTCATTCGGAGAAGTATACAGAGCGGTCAATGTGGATAATGGCACCTTGCTAGCTGTTAAGAGACTGAAAAAGCCCAAGGCAGCAACGGATTTGGAATATTTGAATAAGCTGAAAGTGTTATGGCGGCGTGAAGCAAAAAATCTCTCGACATTGAAGCACGTAAGTAATATGTCTTTACTAGAAAATCAAATACACATGAGCTAATGATGACTATAGACGCACATCGTTCAATTTCTCGCGTGGGATGAAGATGCTGCAGAAATAGTCATGAGCTTGAAGGACGGAAGTCTAAGGTCTTTGATCCAATCAAAAAAGAGGCGTCTCATGGATACCGACGGCATCATCCAACTCGCCTGCCACCATATGCTCCAAGCGCTTGATTATCTTGCGTCGAGAAGAATGGTCCATCGGGATGTTAAACCCGATAATATCCTATACTCCGAAGAGGAGGGCCGATATCACTTCGTGCTTGGTGATTTTGGACTCAGCAACAACCAAGCTACTGCGGTGACTGTGTGCGGCACCGGGTATTATGTAGCCCCGGAGTTCCACCTATCCGGAGAACAGACTCATAAGGCTGATATCTGGAGCCTCTTTGTAACAATGTTATGGACCTCGGGTAACCACGACTTTCGTCTCTTGGTGAACACGCCCAACACCACGGAAAACTTGTACAAGACTATTCAGGCAATTGGGACATACGAGAATCGTCTTGTAAACATGAGAGAAATGGGAGCTCTCAACCCTATGGAGCGAGCCTCCGCAGCCCAGATGCTTGTTAAGTACTACGGCGGCAAAGGACTCTCTACCCCGAAGAGCCGAGTTCCACCTCTTCCTCAA